TTTCTGAGCATTTCCAGTTTTAACCACTTTGAAATCAGATTTCTAGTATCTGCCAGAGATGTCATTTGGGGTTATGAAGGGTAGAGTCTTATTTGCCAAAAAAGAAATGAAACGTGTGAGGGGTGTGTTTAACAGTGGACATATATGCCACACAGGTGTGCATAGCATGTGAGTGTGTTTATCAAACAAAGGTTATTCTTCCTTGCATATATGCCCCAGCTCCAAAAGCTGGTATAGCTCACCTGCAATCACTTCTACAGCCCACTCTTCGTTTAGGGTTGAAATAACTGCACAAAGGCCAATATCCCATCACCAAGTCTCATTTTATTTACAGTACACAGGCTATGGTCAACCAGCTCGCAGTTGATTCCTGAACTGAGGAGATTCTAAATCCCCTGGTTATATTGGTCAGCGAGGGCTTCCTGATTGGTCCACGTTAACAACCCCAATCAAGGATCTCATAATCAACAAGATACAGTTGGTTCCAGTGACTACAAGTGCTTTCACCACTCTCTGGTGCATTTAACTCAGAAAAGCATTTGCCCCAGTATTCTGCCTTCCCCTTAAGTCAGAATACACCCCAGTGAATGTATCTGATCCATTGTAGAAATGTTATCATTAGCACAGATAGGCTTGCTTAATTCAAATCCAGGTGCTGGAGATACATCAAGTGCTTTAACATTCCTCAAATACTGGAAATGCAGCCAAATACCTGCTTGATTCATTTTCATTTTATTATAGTTGCAAAGAATTATTTGAGAAAAATAAATGGTTTGCAAAGTTTTTCACTATGCTGGTGTCAGATTCACGTGATTTCTGAGCTGTGACCAGTGGACAGGATGTGTAGCCATATAAATACCCTTATCAACAAACTTTCTCACTCACATCCCCGAAATTTCAGAATGATAAACAATGCGTGTGCAATTATTGCTGTCGTGCTGCTTGCAGTTACTGGTGAGGGATTTTAAGTCTGTATGTTAAGCGTTGGAAACTCAGTGAAGGGTTTCTTAAATCTGACTATATTTATTGCATTAATACTTTTGTGTAATAAAGGGATTACTCTTAGTGGAAATATTTTAAAATTAATTGCAAACTATCTGTGGTTGAAATTACATTTTGTGTTGTAATTTGAAGAACAGTTTAGTGTACTGTATAATTATTGGGGTTCTTCATTGCCTGTGAATCACTTAGAAAGTTGTAAGGATGTAAGAGATGCTATATAAATACAAACATTTCATATGTTTTATTAAGCAAGATTTCTGCACCAACCATCTCGAGTTTTCTGGTATTACTGATTGGGTGAGCAATGTGAACAGGACTTTAGGCTTGTGATGAAACTTAATGTCAGGCACAGGGCACTGTTTCACTGAGATGCATGCAGCACGGTGTAGAATGAGCGTGTACAGATGTTGTAGGAGTCAGTGCACTGTTTGTGTGTCTTTTTTAAAAAGAATTGTTTTAATGAGATGGTTGTCTGATTTGTAGGCTGCACGAAGAAGCACCTATCTCCCCAGCCCCTCACTTCACTCCGGAAAGCTGCAGCGTAGACAGCCAGCATAAGGTGATCACGCTACCTTTGATGGCAGGGGAACATTGCAGAGAGGTTTAGACCAGGTTTAATTTGTCACTGCTGAGGGAGCACCGCACTGTCGGAGGGTCAGTGCTGCGGGAGCGCCACAATGTTGGAGGGACAGTGCTAACGGAGTGCCGCACTGTCAGAGGGTCAATGCTAAGGGAGTGGCGCACTGCCAGAGAGTCAGTGCTGATGGAGTTCTGCACTATTGGCGGCTAAGTGCTGAGGGAGCAACGCCCTGTCAGAGGGTCATTGCTGAGGGAGCAACACACTGTCAGAGGGTCATTGCTGAGGGAGTGCTGCACTAACGGAGGGTCAGTGCTGAGGGAGGACTGCAATGACAGAGGGTTAGTACTGAGGGAGGGCTGCATCGTTGGAAGGTCAGTGCTGAGGGAGTGCTGTAGTGATGGAGGGTCAGTACCGAGAGAGTGCCGAAGTGTTGAATGGTCAGCTCTGGGGGAGCATTGCGTTGTTGGAGAGTCAGTACTCAAGGAGTGCTGCACTGTCAGAGTGTCAGTGTGGAGGGAGAACTGTACTTTCAGTCATGTCATCTTTCAGGAAGGACATTATTGATATATATGAGTGCAACAAATGTTCACCAAACTTGTTCTTGTGACAGCGGGACTGACCTATGAAGAGAGGGTGTGAAAACTGGACCTGTAATCTTTAGTGTTTCAAAGAATGAAAGGTGATCTCATTAAAATTTACAAATTACTTAAAGGGATAGACAGAATAGATACAGGTAAGATGTTTTCTCTGACTGAGGAATCTAGAACAAGTGCACCCGATTTAAAAATAAGGTAGATGTTGCTTAACTCTGAGATTTGTGGAAATATTTTTACTCAGAGGGTTGTAAACCTTTGGAATACCATGGGTCCTCTAAAATCTCGATCTTTGAATATGTTTAAGGTAGAGATTGATAGGTTTCCGATTACCAGTGACATACAAGGTTATAGGGATGAGGTTGGTCAAAAAGAAGATGGGAAGCATATGTAAGGTTTAGAAAATTGAAATCAGACAAGGTCCTTGAAGAATATAAAGGAAGCAGGAAAGAGCTTAAATGAGGAATTCAGAGGGCTAAAAGGAGCTATGAAATGTCATTGACAAGTAGGAAGAAGTAAAATCCCAAGGCATTCTATGCATATATTAGGAGCAAGATGGTAGCTAGGGAAAGGGTAGGTTCACTCAAGGACAAAGGAGAGAATTTACGCTTGGAGCCAGAGGAAGTGGGTGAGACCCTTAATGAGTCTCAGGAGGGGTAAGTTGACATTCTAGAGTATGTCAATATTAAGAAGAAGGAGGTGCTGGGTGTCTTGAAAAATGTTAAGGGAGATAAGACCCCAGAGCCTGATCCTCTGTCCAGGATACTGAATGAGGTAAGGGAGGAGATTGCAGACAACAGAAACCTTTGAATCCTCTTTTGCCACAGGTGAGGTCCAGGAAGATTGGAGAATAGTCAATTGTTGTTCCTTTGTTTAAGAAGACCAACAGGGATAATCAAGGAAATTATAGGCTGGTGAGCCTTGCATCAGTGGTAGGGAAATTATTGGAGAAGATTCTTAGGGACAGGATTTATTTGCATTTGGAAAATAATGGATTTACTAGGGACAGTCAGCATGGCTTTGCGTGGGGCGGTTCTTGAGGAATGATGAAGATGATTGATGAAGATAGGGCAGTGGATGTTGTCTACATGGACTTTTTACTAAAGCATTTGACAATTTCCATCATGGTAGGCTGGTCCAGAAGATTAAGTCACATGAGATCCATGGTGGATTGGTAAGTTCAATTAAAAAATCGGTTTGATCATAGAAGACAGTTGTGGAAGTGTGTATTTCTGACTGGAGGTCTGTGACCATTGGTGTTTCTGCAAGGATCCTTGCTGGGACCTCTGTCCTTTGTAATATATGTAAATGATTTGTATGAAAATATAGGTGATATGATTAGTAGGTTGTAGATGACACGAAAATCAGTGTATTGTTGATTGTGAAGAACGTTGTCAAAGATTACAGCAGGTCACAGACCAATTGGAAAATTGGGCAGAAAAATGGCAGATGAAGTCTTGTCCTGACAAACATGAAGTGATGTATTTTGGGAGGTCAAATGCAAGAGGAAAGTATACAGTAAATGGCAAGACCCTGGGGAGCATTGATATCCAGAGGGATCTTGGAATGAAAGTCTGTAATTTCCTGAAAGTGGCAACACAAGTGAATAAGGTGGTAAAGAAGTTTTATTGTGTGTTTGTTTTCAGTGGTTGGGGCGCTGAGTATAAAAGTTGGCAAGTTATGTTGTAGCTGTACAAAACTTTAATTAGGCCACGTTGCTTTTTGTCACACTATAGGAAGGATGTGGAAGTTTTGGAGAGGGTGCAAAGGAGGTTTACTAGGACTTTGCCTGTATTGGAATGTATTATCTGTAAGGAGAGGCTGGACAAGCGTGGATTGTTTTCGCTAGAACGTTGGAGGCATAGAGGTGACCTGATAGAAGGATGTAAAATTATAAGAAGCATGGATAGGATGGAAATGTCAAATACATAGGTTTAATGTGAGGGGTAAAGTTAAAGGAAATGTGTGAGACAAGTCTTTTACACAAAGGTTGGAAGTGCCTGGAACATGTTTCCAAGGGAGGTGGTAGAAGCAGATGTGATAGCAACGTATAACAGACACTTAGACAGACACATGAACAGGCAGGGAATAGAGGGATACAGATTAGTTTAGAATGGCACCACGATCAGCACAGGCATGGTAAGCTGAAAGGCCTGTTTCTGTGCTGTACTGTTCAATGTTGTAAAAGGCATTGGGTTGTTCAGTCAGCTTTGATGTTATTGAATAATGGGCAGGCTTGATTAGCTGAATGGCCTACTGTTCCTTTGTCCCTGATAGATTAATTTATGAGATCTTGTTCCTTGCAAATTGACTACTGTATTTCTTGAGTTACAAGAGCTGCAGGTTAAACAAAAAATTGTTCTGCTGTATGGGAGGTCCTCAGTACATTACTGTACAGAGTTTGTATCTCTGTTAACAGACTTGTGCCAAACTGTTCTCCTATGTGTAGAATGATACAATAGCACAAACTTGTAAAACTGCATGCTTATTTTAGTTAAGATAAAGTTATTCTTATCTAAAAATGTCGAGTTAGTGATAATGCTGTAGCCACAAGTTTTATTCAAAAACAATGGGAAGTCTTCATTTTTATTACAGAAATTGTAATTCCCTTTCAAAATAGGATCTGTAACAATTAGATAATTTACCAGAGAGAAGAGATTAAGAGATATTGAAGGGAACATCTAGCTAATTTGTCAATGATTTTGTTCATTTAAATAGTTAGTATGTGTTTAGTCAGAAGTCCTCTGGCCAGCTCAGTTGGCAGCTGACAATAAGTGGTCTGTATATCTGTATCTTTTGTAACAGTCTCCGTTTTTCTATTGCAGACCTGGCAACAGCTCAAGTTTACACGTCGTCTGCTTCTTATGAGGAGGTGAGGTCCTGGGTCTAATTTTACCTGGAGTTCTCAGTAATAGTATCAATAATGCTTGTTGCCTGTAGCAGTGCAGACTTTGATTAGTTTTCTCCATTCAACTCCTATCATTATTCCATAACTCTGGTGAGATCCTATGCTCTTAGTTAATTTCATTTCTTGTCAATAATGAATGAATCTGTTAATCTCATCTCTCGCAGCCTGACTGCCAAGATTTCCCTGATATCCCAGTCTGCCCCATGTTCACAAAGCGAGTCTGTGGAACAGATGGCATGACCTACATAAACCGTTGTAATTTATGCCTTTATAATTGGTGAGTGATTTTAAAACTCCGGGACAAGGTGATACCCTATCTCAAGTGAAAATCTCTGTTAATAATAAAAAGGAAATGAGACGTCCAAATGGAAGAACTTGGCTTTAGGTAGAGCCCTGATTAATTTACTATCCTGATTATTACAATTATGGAAGTTCAGAACTGAAAATGACATTTCAAAATGATGTTTTCTGTAGCTTTGCAACATCCCATAATAGCACCACATATGAAATATACTGTGGATGTGATGAATCAAGCATGTGGGAGCAGAGATCATGATGAAGTTTAATCACAACGCAGAGCCTGTCTGGCATTTCTGATTTGTGTAGGTGCTGGAATTAGATCTGATTGGTATTTACATATGCATGGTATACAGAGGCTGCTAGTCATTCAAGATATGCAGCTGTCCTCATACAAGCTGATCTTGGGAGCAAGAGGTCAAGTGTGCAGAGTAAGCATGGTAAGAGCAGGCTTGGATTTTCTGTATTTCTTTGGAAAAACAAGATACCTCTTTGGAAAAGGGAGTTACCTCTTTAGATATACCTTTGGGGTGTATTTTGGGCAGGTAAGGTACCTTTTGAAATGGTTAAAAGTAGACATGAATGTGCAAAATTTCATTAAATGTCCATCTCTTTGGAAATGCCAAATCAAGAGCCACTGTCAAGAGACCTGTCATTAGTAACTAGAGGACATGTCATGTTTGACAGATAGTCTTGTCATTTGTGAAAAATAGATGGGAAGGCGAGTAGTGAGGATAATCTACATAGTCTGCACAAGGATATAGACAGGTTAAAGCCAGTGGGGAAATACTTGGCAGATGGATTGTGATTTGGGAAAGTGTGAGATTATGCACTTTGGCAGGAAGAATAGGAGAGCTGAATATGATTTAAAATGGAGAAAGACTGTGGAATGTTACAGCACAGAAGGATTTGGCAGTCCTTGTGTATAACTCACAAACTGCCATTGTTCAGGTCAGCTGGGAACTGGGAAGGCAAATGAACTGTGTGCCTTTATTTCAAAGGGAACAGAATATAAAGGTAGGGAGTTCTTGCTAATATTATACAAGGCTCTACTTAGACAACACTGTGAATAATTTTGGTCCCCTTATCAAATGAAGGTATTTATGGCATTGGAGGCAGTTCAGAAAGGGTTCGCTAGGTTGATCCCAAGAATGGAGGGATTGTCTTGTGAGGAGAGGTTGAGTAGGTTGGGCCTGTACTCATTGAATTTTAGAAGAATGAGAAGAGAGTTTATTGAAATATACAAGATTCTTAGGGGACTTGATAGGGTAGATGTGGGGAAGTTGTTTCCCCTTTTTGGACAGACTACAACCAGAAGAAATAATCTCCTATCGGGATGTGTCACAGCGTGGTATGGCAACTGCTCTTCATCAGAAAAGGGTTAGGTCTAGGCCCGAAACGTCAGCCTTTCTGCTCCTATGATGCTGCTTGGCCTGCTGTGTTCATCCAGCCCTGCACCTTGTTGTCTCGGATTCTCCAGCATCTGCAGCTCCTACTATCTCTGAGATAGATTTTTAATCAGTAAGAGAATCAAGGATTAGGAGGGAAAAAGCAGAACAGTGGAGTTGAAGATTATTACTTCAGGCATGTTTTCAGTGAATGGCAGAGCAGACTCAATCAGCTGAATGAACTACCTCTGTTCCTATGTACCTGTCTTATGATCAAGAGGATCTGTGAAAGAGATCTGTCAAAAGTATCATGAGGATCTGCTTCAAGGGGAGCTGACAAGTTGTGAAGGCATATCAAACTCCTCCTCAGTATTCTTTGAAAATGTCTCGAGTAATTATTTTAAAAAATTATTACGTGAAACTTCACTTTGTCTATTGACATTACTGCTGCATGATTTTATTTATAATCATCCATTATCACAGTGGGTGCCTTCCAGTTCACAGTTACAAATGGTAATTATATTATTTTGTATCACGACTTCTGCCCGTGTTGAATGCAGGATGAGACGGATGGTATCAAGCTTCTTGAGTGTTTTTGGAGCTGCATCCATTCAAGCAAGTGGGGAGTATTCCATCACACCCCTGAGTTGTGTCTTGTATTTGGTGGACAGGTTTTGGGGAGTCAGGAGGTGCGTTATTCACTGCAGGACTCCTAGCCTCTGACCTGGTCTTGCATTTATATGGCTGGTCCATCCAAGTTTCTGATCAATGGTAACTCCCGGGATGTTGATAGATGGGGAATTCAGCAATTGTAATGCTAATGAAAGTTAAGGGATGTTTTTAGATTTCTGTCTTGTTGGAGATGGCCATTGTCTGGCACTTGTGTGACACAAATTGCCACTGGGTCTATGCTCTCCCCAGGACCCATTTCACCTCCCTGGCCTGAACCTTAGATAGCTCAGGGAGACATTGTCAAAGGTTGCTGCCATCAATCAGAGAATCATTCTCATAGCTTTCTCCCTTACTGTCAAAGTGATTGTCTAATGCTGTGCATTAGTATGCTTGTTACCAAAATCACCTGATTTATATTCCCATTCCTTTATATCTGAGTTTTACACCAGGCTGAAAAATTAACAATCTACCTCAATGTATCTCTTCGTGCCTGGTGGATAGTAACTTCCTTGGGTTTTTATTTCAGGTTGAATAATGCAAATGTTAAGATCAGTCACAATGGATTTTGTACAAAGACACGACCAGAAGAGGAAGAATACTGACTGAGGTGGAAAAAGTTCTAGTGTTGAACTGAAGTCTTTCTTCGAAAGTCTTCATTTGATTGGTTGGATTAAGAATAAACTTAAATAAATATGAATTGTGTGTATTGCCAGTTAATTTTCCAGCCTTTTAGTGCTGGCCTCACGAGATAACACAGTATTTGTTTGTTTATTGCTTCTTAAGCTGCATTTGATGTAGGATTTACAAGTTTAATCAAGCGGAGGGTTTGAGCTATAGAGAGAGGCTGAATAAGCTGCGGCTGTTTTCCCTGGAACATCAGAGGCTGAGGGGTGACCTTATAGACATTTATAAAATCATGAGGGGCATGGATAGGGTGAATAGCCAAGGTCTTTTCCCTGGGGTCGGGGGAGTCTAAAACTAGAGGAGTATAGGTTTAAAGTGAGAGGGGAAAGATTTAAAAGGCACCTAAGGGGCAACTTTTTCATGCAGAGGGTGGTGTGTGCTGCCAGAGGAAATGGTAAAGGTTGGTACAGTTACAACATTTAAAAGGCATCTGAATGCATATGTGATTAGTAAGGGTTTAGAGGGATGTGGGCCAAATGCTGACAAATGGGACTAGATTAATTTAGGATATTGGGTTGGCATGGACAAGTTGGACCAAAGGGTCTGTTTCTGTGCTGTATATCTCTGTGACTCTATTTAATCGTTCAAAGCTCTGACCTTATACTTGGCATTGACAAAGAAATCACATTATTTAAACTTGACATTTCCTTCAGTCCATCTGTTCCCTGACCTGCATGAAGTCCCAATTATTCATTCCCCTGTCCTCACTGATGTGGTTTGACTTTCAGAACCTAATGCACCCAGTTCAGATTTTTAATTCTCATGTTTAAATCTACCCCAAGACAGTCCCTTATTGAAGTCACCTTTGACATCCTGTGCAATTGTGACAAAGATAAAGTGACTTTCCTTGTCCTTCTGAACAAAGCTGTCTGCGGGCTTTCACACAAGTGATCACTGTTGACAGATTCTAACCAGGCTGGTCAAAAAGAGACTAAAAGATGGTCTTTCTTTGTGCAGAGAGTTTATTGACTTTACTCATCCAACAATTCTATCACCCAATCCCAGACGTTCCCCTTTTATACTTTTAGACATTGACATCACATGTTTCTCTTCTAACTTTCTTCACTTATTATTATTGGTCACCTCTTTGAGTGCCACTCCAGATATTCAGCTTGTTCAGAGAAGTTATAACACACCTCTGGAGCATTTGAAACCTAAACCTAGACCTCATGGCTCAGCAGTAAGGATACTACCACTGCACCGCAAGAGGTTTCAAATGCCACTCCATACAAATGGATGGACTTACTCTTACCTGGTTCCTTTCTAATACTTCAGATGATCGCCTGCAGTGGGTTCTCTTCCTGTTCCCGTTGCTGCCCCGTTACCACTGATATTACCTGAGGATATTCTGAGTTCCCTGTATTTCTGAGCTACATGTTGCACAGTGTTTTCATTTTTGTTGGTACAGAGCTTTATAGTGTTGCTAATAAAAGAAATACTTAATATATTTCCTGCTTTTGAATACACAGCTGCAGTGAAGACAAAAGCAAAATATTTGCTCATTACATCCACCACATCCTTATTATTTACTATTAACTCCCCACTCTCATTCTCGAGAGGACTAAGACTCACTTTACTCACTCTTTTCCTTTTTAAATACCTGTAGAAACTCTTGCTATCCACAATGTCCTCACTGTACATAATGCAAGTTCATGAACGGTCCTAAGATGATCACTTTTGGTCCTGACATTGTGCTGTGAATCTCAGATTACCCTGGGAAGGGTAACAAATCTAAAAGATTTGAGAAGGTGAAACTAGCTGTTTTACACTGAAACACACGGCGCTTACCACTCAAATAGGGTCCTGATGTCAAGCTAAAAAAGCCTAGAATACACATGAGTAATCTGATAAATGAAGTTAATTGGTGGTGTGATACCAGATATGCAGACTGTACATGCCAAAGACTGGCAAATCATATCAAAATAGCATTTCTTTTTGAGATAGTAGGAACTGCAGATGCTGGAGAATCCGAGACAACAAGGTGCAGGGCTGGATGAACACAGCAGGCCAAGCAGCATCATAGGAGCAGAAAGGCTGACGTTTCGGAAGGGTCTAGGCCCGAAACGTCAGCATTTCTTTTTGGTTGTTTGTATTGAGCAAGGTACTAACCATACCTTATCAGCCTGCACTTACAAAAGTAACAACAGTGTCCAGCATTAGATGTGATGCTGCAATTGGACTGCTAAGTGTGCTAAGAATCACGCTGACAACCAATTTAAGACTGTCATTTGGTCTCTCAGTACAGTTCACTTGAATGTACTGGAAGCTACATACATTGATAGGGGGCCTTGTTCTTTGCACTCAGAACAAACAGTTAAAAACACTGCACCTGTTTAAATCTAACAAAATAGGTTGCAAAATTGGTTACTTCTCAGACCAGTGCCTTGACCAACCAGAGTCAACTTCCTAGTTTAACATTTAAACAGTGCTTGGCAGTTAACTGCCAGTTATCATCTAACCAGTGCATTTTCCATAGCAACACCTCTGTCAATCAGAGTCACTTGTCAACCAGTCAACAGCCTCTTCTCCTACAGTATAAATGTTCTTTTCCATTTACATTGGTATTTATTGCAAGGTGTCCTGATGAATGCAAGGTGAAAGGCTTTTTTCAGTAATTTCTTATATATCCTAACTTCACCATCATTCTGCACTCCTCCATCCTTGTTAAATTATCAGATTACCTATACAACATCCAGCATTGGATGAGAAGAATTTTCCTTCAATTAATGTGAAGGTTGAAGTCATTACAAACCCACTGACTCCCAGAGTTACCTTGACTACACATCCTCACTCCCTACTTCCTGCAGGGATTCCATTCCATTCACTCAGTTTCTCCATCTGTTCTGAGAATGCAACTTGGGTGCCTCCAACATGACTTTTTATCTCAACTGAAGATACCCCCTGTCCTCCATCTGTGGTGGACAGGACCCTCAGCCATGTCCACCCATCTCTCACACTTCTGCCCTCATCCCTTCCCCTCCTTCCCAGAACAGCAGTAGGGTTCGTCTAGTCCTCACTTTGCACACAGCCAACCCCCGCACTCAAAGGATTATCCTGTGCCATTTCTGCCACCTCCAGCAGGATGCCACCACCAAACACACCTTCCCCTCCCCTCCACAGTCAGCATTCCATAGGGACTGTTCCAGCACTGCTCCTCCATCACTTCGGACATTTCCTCACTCCCCAAAGGCACCTTTCCCTGCAATCACAGGGGGTGTAGCACTTGCCCATTCACCACCTCCCTCCATACTATCCAAGGCCCCAAACACACCTTCCAGGTAAAGCAGCATTTTACCTGCACTTCACTCAATCTGGGTGACTATGTTCACTGCTCACAATGTGGTTTTCTTCAAACTGGGGAGATCAAACACAAACTGAATAATTACTTTGTGGAGCACCTCCACATATCCATAGGAATGAGTCTGACCTTCCAGCGGCTCTGCCAGTTCACAGACCACCTCTTCCTCATGCTAACATTTCTGTCCTGAGCCTGCTGCAGTGTTCGAACAAAGCTGCAGGAACCACACCTCGCTTTCCATTTCGGTACTTGGCAGCCACAAGGTCTCCATGTTGAATTCCACAGCTTCAGAAATAAAAACAAAAGAACTGCGGCTGCTGTAAATTAGGAACAAAAACAGAAGTTTCCAACAACTTCTGTTTTTATTCCACAGCTTCAAAGCCCGACCTCCATTTATCTTATATTCAGCCCACCTATGATCTTGTCTTGATTATGCTTGTTCACTTTGTTCCCAGCAGAACAGACCTATTGTCTCCCTTTCACACCTTCAGTTACACCCATTGTATATCATTATTTCTCTTTCACGCCAACTAGAACTCTTTGTCTTTTACACTGGGCCTTAACACCATCTTACCCCTCACTCCTCATCTCAACTCAAGACTCAAAATGTTAATCTCTTTCTGTCCACAGATGCTGCATTGCTCTAGCATTTTCTTGTATTTGTTTCAGAATTACTGTATCTGCAGTATTTTGCTTTTATTAGGTTGAAGTAAATGTTTGCTACTGAGTCCATCCCTCTTCCTTGCAATAGTCTAAGTTTAAACCAAGCTGTTTCCTACCTTAAAAACCAAAAAAAACTCCAGTGCTGTAAATCAGAAGCAAAAACAAATTGCTTGAAAAACACAGCAGGTCCGGCAGTATCTGTGGAGAGAAATCAGAGTTACCATTTCAGTTCCAGTTCTGAGGAAGGGTCACTGGACCCGAAACATTAACTCTGATTTCCCTTCAGAGATGCTGCCAGACCTGCTGAGCTTCTCCAGCAATTTCTGTTTTCTACCTTGTTGTAGTATTGGATTTGAGATGAATCCAACCACAAATCCACACCAGCAATAAACCTACCAATTTCATCTCTGCCATATCACTGACTATCCTTGCCTCAATCTGTCTACCACTGACATTCTCTCTCAATCTTAGTTTGGGATTATGGTCGGCATTGACTGGTTGGACCGCAGGATCTGTTTCCGTGCTGTATGACTCTAAGACTGTCATGGCCCATTAGCTGTGAACTTAACCATTCCAGTGTACAACAGGTTGTTCTCCCAAATTCTACGCTCTATAAGTTTGAGATCACCTCAAACTCTGTTGCCTGTGATCTAACTCACACCATTACCCTCTATCACTGCTGTGCTTGCTACATTGATCAGGGTGGGATTCCAGTCAAGCCATGTCTTGGTTTTAAAATTCCCTTACTTGTTTTCAGTTCCTGCAGTGGCTTAACCCCTTTTTCCCTTATCTCTGTACTTTTCTCCAGCTCCTTAACCCTCTGAGATATCTGTGCTCCTCTAACTCTGGCATTGGGTGCAATCTCAAATGTAATTGGTCCACTATCGGAGTGGTTACATCAATATAAGTTGTTGTTGGCTTTGCTCACACACCTGAGAATGAATAAAAAGCCTGGGCTTGAGGGCGTTGCAGTAATGTTGCAGTGAAATGCAACTGATAATGATGGACCAAATCAATGGAATGTGACCCCATGGCAGTGAAGATGACAGTGA